GCATTTACTCAAGTACTTTAGGGAAGTACAGCAGTGGAAGGAAGGGCATATGGCGAAAAAACTGTGCCAAATAAAATATATGGATCACTGCACTGTGGCGACACCTCTGGAAATAAGGTAGCAGCATTAAGTATGTTTAATGCACTTAAGTACTTCTAAAGTAGGTTTTGCATGTATTCTAAAATATCTGTCTCCTTAATATGTATTTTTGAATCTACCAGCAGTAACTAACATTAGCCTCCAGCTGCAGATGATTTTAATCTTGCATGAAAGTCTGCATGAGTACTTTCACTTGAAGTGCATTAAGTACATTATGATGATAAAACTTTTGCACTTTCACCTAAGCAGGATGATACATTTTAAACACCCTGCCCTGTTCTTGGATGACAAAAATCTACTCGAATAATTTCTTCCACTTTTGCATAACTGTAAATAATGGATAATGATGCTGCTACAACAAACAGAAAAAGTTCAACTTGTTAAATGTGTTGCAAGACGAGGAAACTTCCAGAACACTGCCGCCTGGAAAAAGTTAAGTTGTTGGATTTTTTTTTTTTTTACAAAACTCTCTGCTTAAAAAGTCAAGCGCTCCCAAAGCAGCGCGCAGTGATTTAACCCCCCACCTTTACCACACACGGATCTCTCTAAGCACAACTGTAACATCCAGATCTCAGCAGCTGGCTGACTTTTGACAGTTTCGCTGTCTCGTTGTAGATCTTACCTGATGGAGGTGGTGACACGGACAGGCGCCCCGGGAGTGGTTCAGTGCGTGGGGTCGCAACGGGGACACACCACTGTCGCATGGCTCAGCGAAGTTCAGCTCGGCTGGACCTCTGAGGAGTCACACAGGAGACTTGCTGCAGTGTGTTGCGGTTAAATCGCCTCTATTAGCATCTTGCCAAACCTGCAACAACAGATCACTCCCCTAGCAGCCTGTGCTGGCTAAGCTAGCGCCGTCAACTCCAGTTGGTTCCCCTGAGCACCAACCTCCCATCAACTGCTGCTTAGCTGTCCTGTTAGCCAGAACGAGACTACAAAGCGGAAGCGATGCTTGCAACCTTCAAAGTAAGACAAACTGGTAGCTCGATAACAATAACCATTTTCACATTATACACAGACAGAATTAAACTGAATTCGGAAGCATATAGCTATTTTATAGCTATTTTCCAAAATGAGTCTATTTTCCACCTCTCTTTCTATCTGGGGCTATTTCCAATTATGTCTCAATGTAATGTTAGGTTTTTACACTTAACTCAGCTGTAAAACGACAAACATAAATAAAGTAAAATACTTTTCACATGCCATGTCTTTTCTCAAATTTCATTATCCACTTATACACATAGAAATACAAAGATGAATGTGAAACGCTTAGAAAGTTAAATGTATTCACCTTTTGACCCATTTACTGAAATGACAACTATTATTTTGCTCCAATGATGAGCGCAAATTACACTTTTATTTTGAAAAACTCGGGAAACGATGCTACTTACTCTGGTTACCTTGATAAAACGGTCTGTCTTGTCTCGGCTAACAACTTACCCAAAACTTGCACTTTAAGGGCAATCTGAGCAATGTTTCAAACAAGCAACCGTTTACGAAAAAAATCACCGTTCTAGAGTGCTACCGCCAAACATTTTATGTGTTAAGTCGAAGGGCTGGGACCACCGCCAGCTGCTAACGGGTTAGCTCGCCTGCTAGCTAAGTTAGCTGGTGGCTAGCAGCGGATTGTCCCGCCGCGGAGCACCTCTCTTACCTCCCGTTGCTGAAGAGAGACAGCTGCAGCCGGCTGGTCGGACAGGGCAGATAATTAAAAGTGGCAAAAAAAGTAGCGGTCCACTCAACTCTGCTATAGTAAATAAGTCCTGGGTTGAAGGCGGACGGTTAAGTTAACGAATAGAGGGTGAAGGATGCGGGGTCATGTTGTCTTTCGCTATGCAGTGGGGAAATAGTATATGCAAACGAGAGGAGTCTGTCTCAATTTGTGACCCCTCACCCGACAGTACCGTGAAGGCAGCAAGAATTATCATTATGATTTCCGGTTGTACAGTGCATGCTAGAAAACGTCTACCCTAAATTCAAGCACGGCTGCAGGGCGACATGAAGCCAAAAGTAACATTTTAACTAAAGTGACTGAAAATGTAACGATGCTCGTGCGTACATCTCGCTCAGGCGGCTTTAGCGGCATTTAATGCCCATGATGAAAACATTTCTTCTTTTATTTTGGACAAGTACTTAGGAAATATGTCACTAAATCGGTTTTCCTTGACGCATCACCGCCCAATACATAAGTGGGTCTGTATGCAGACTGTAATAAGCTTCCTCGCAAGCGTTTGCAGAAGAAGCCATATGAACAGGAGGTAAACAACAATTATAATGAGTGGATAAAACGAGAGTGTGGCTGTTCTTGGCTTGGAATACCATGAAATGTACTTAACCATAATATGTATTTGCAAGGAGCATTTACAGCTTTGTGAGGTTGTGCTTCGCAAAGCAGTCAGTGGGAGCCTGTATAGAAAATCAGAAAAATCTATAAAAATTAAATGCAAATATGGACAGAAAAAATTGGGGACAACTTTTTGGTTCTTGGGCATCACCCTGTACTTTAATACAGATGGTATGACTTTAAAAGGTGACTGTGCACAAATGTTTGAAAAAGATTCTGAATTAACTATTTTTGCATAATGTTGGAAAAAGTATTTGACTCTTGTTTCAAGTAAGAATCATAATACTACAATATGAAGGTACGTGTTTCCAAGTCCGGCAGTCAAACTCCTTCAGAATCTTTTTTTAAATATGGAAATCTTTTTTTTTTATTGCAGCTATACCAAAAGATAGATAGATAGATAGATAGATAGATAGATAGATAGATAGATAGATAGATAGATGTATATGTATGTAGTTATTGATTGATTACTTGTAGTAAAAAAAAAAAGCATTAGTGTTAAAAGAGATCCATTATCACTCAGGGCATCTACATGAAACGTGTCATTATAATTCATAATAATTAATTAGAATTATAAATTAGAATTACTAAAAACCTATAATGTCATAATATACATTATGTTAGTATAGCGGCACGGTGGCATGGTGGTTAGCACTGCTGCCGCACAGCAAGGGGGTCCTGAGTTCAATTCCACCATCAGTGGGGTCTTTCTGTGTGGAGTTTCCATGTTCTCCCCGTGTTTGCGTGGGTTCCCTGCGTGGGGATAGGTTAATTGGATAATCCACTAGGTGTGAATGTGCGAGTGAATGGTTGCCTGTCCCTGTGTGTTGGCCCTGCGACAGACTGGCGACCTGTCCAGGGTGTACCCCGCCTCTCGCCCTATGACAGCTGGGATAGGCTCCAGCGCCCCCCGCGACCCTGAAAAGGATAAGCGGAAGTGAATGGATGGATGGATGTTAGTATAAGTATTAATCCACAAATAATAATAATGAGTCAGGTATTCCTGGGCCTCTCCGTCTGTGTAGGCTGTAGACATAAACACCTTCCTATAGCGTTGTTGCGTCTTTGTACATCAGTACTCTCCAAGAGTGAATATCAACTGCTGATCTAATCTAATATAGCTGGATTTCATTGTCCAGCTTCACGCAGACACGTACAATGTCATAACCATATTATACAGTCTGTGGTCTAAACCCAAAGGATTACTTGACTCTGGCTGATGTGGTTCTCTATATCCACTCTAAAGTTATTGTGCACTGTAGAGCTGTGGAGCCAGCCAGCAGACCGCCTTAATAGCAAGGGTTGATATACAAAAAGGTTGTTCATCTAGGACCAGCTTCATAGGTTATAAAATTGAGAATAAGGTTATTGTAACTCAAGGTTCAAGGTTCTTTATTATTTGTGTTGCAACTGTGTTGCATTTTGTCCAATCTGACAAGTTTTGTCTTGTGATTGTAACAGATTTTGCAAAAAATAAAATAAAATGATTTCACAGAGGTGCTGTGTCTTTTTCTGTTTTCTTGTTTTTCCCCTTTCTATTATGGTAAATGGTCTGTATTTGTATAGCGCTTTTACTTGGTCCTAAGGACCCCAAAGCGCTTTACACTATACACAATCATCCACCCATTCACACACACATTCACACACTGGTGATGGCAAGCTACATTGTAGCCACAGCCACCCTGGGGCGCACCGACAGAGGCGAGGCTGCCGGACACTGGCACCACCGGGCCCTCTGACCACCACCAGAAGGCAACGGGTGAAGTGTCTTGCCCAAATTATAATTTAGCTAAAGAGTGAATCAATATTATATTTTATTATAACCTCTGTTTTCTTTGTATTTTTGCAGGGTCTTTACCTCACAATACAAACCACCTTGAGGAACTGTTGTTGTGATTTAATGCTATACAAATAAAATTGAGTTCCTCATACAGGAAGGATGGGATTGTATAAATCACCTGTGATGTTTTGTCTTTGTTTCCAACTTATCCAAGGATAGGATCGTACACTTTTGGCCACATTTTAAATATACAGTAACGCTAAAGTCAGGAGAAGACAGGTTGGTGTGTATAAAAACTTTCCTCAGAAGTGAATACTCATCTGTCTCTTTCTAAGAAACTTCCTGATAGGCAGACTTTTTGTATCTTTTGACACAACCTGGCTCGTTGTATCACATACCTTTCCTTATTTATTCTAAGTCAGGCTAACTGGCTTTCTTTGAATGTAAGACTTGTAGCGTCCAGGATGGTGCAGAGCCTGTGTGAACTACTGAACTAGTCAAGGTGTGTGTGTGTTTTATCACCAGTTACAGAAGTGACTCTAGCTGAAGAATGGGTCTATGTTTGCTTTGTTCTGTGTACCTCCCTCCCTTTCTGACTGTGCCAAGAAGGCACAGGCAGGTATTAAGAAACATATTAAAGCACCTTCGTGCTTGACATGCCCAGTTCAGAGTGCGTCCAAGCGAGCGATACCTCAGCAGTGGGTCCCACATCTTGGGATTTTCTTTTTTAGTGCTCTGTTTCTACAATTGGGTTCAACTGACATCTGAAACAACACCATGAACTGGATCTTCTTGGAGGGTCTCCTCAGTGGGACTAACAAGTACGCCACAAGGTTTGGTCGAATCTGGCTTGCCATTGTCTTCATCTTCAGGCTCTTGGTCTTCTTGGTGGCTTGTGAAAAGGTCTGGGGCGACGAACAAAAGGACTTTGATTGCAACACCCGCCAGCCTGGTTGTCAAAATGTCTGCTATGACCACTACTTCCCCATCTCTTACACCCGACTCTGGGCTCTCCAGCTGATCTTTGTGACTTGTCCATCCCTTCTCGTGACTCTCCACGTTTCCTACAGAAAAGACCGGGAGCGTAAGCACCGGCTAAAGTACGGAGAAGACTGCACACCTCTGTATGATAACACAGGAAAGAAACGAGGGGGTCTCTGGTGGACCTACTTTTTCAGCCTGCTGTTCAAGATAACTGTGGATGGCGTGTTTGTCTTCCTGCTGTTTTACCTCTACGAAGCTGCCTTCTTTCCTCCACTGGTGAAATGCAGAGAAGAGCCATGTCCCAATGTGGTGGACTGCTACATTGCGAGGTAAGGGATACCTTTAAGGTTCTAAATGGCCAAAAATTTCAAACGCTTAATCCTACATTATGTTTTATCTCTTACACTCTGTTTTCCAGGCCAACGGAAAAGAAGATATTTACTGTCTTTATGGTGGTGACCAGCTTTGTGTGCATTTTCCTCACTCTTTGTGAGGTGTTATATCTGTGTGGGAAGAGGTTCCGGGAATGCTGCAAAAAAGGACCTCGCTCCATGAGAGACAACTCCTTCATGATGACCAGAGTTCCTCTGAGTGGTAATGAAAACTCAGCCTACAAAGAACCGGTTCTGGAGAAGAGTGTGACCAATGGAGAACCGGGCCAGAAGGGTTCAGCCCCGCCCTACACCATAGCCTGAGCTCATTATGTCCTGAGAGACATAATGAATTTTTAAATATCAGAATCAGAATCATCAGCAAATGCTTACAAACAGATGATGTTGGTTATTTTGAAACCAATTTTACATTTTAACTATTTTATGTTTTTGTTCCCCAACATTGATGTGTTGAGCATGTATGTACTGCTATTTCAATAAACGTTTAATCTGATACTATCAAAATGATTTTTTTTTTTGGATGTATATGACCATATGTCAAGACTATCTCTCCACTCTACATATTCCACATGTTCAGCAATGTACACTGAGCAAAAATATAAACGCAGCACTTTTGTTTTTGCTCCCATTTTTCATGAGCTGAACTCAAAGATCTGAAACATTTTCTACATACACAAAGGACCCATTACTATCAAATGTTGTTCACAAATCTGTGTTAGTGAGCACGTCTCCTTTGCCAAGATTATCCATCCCACCTTGCAGGTGTGGTATGTCAAGGTGCCGATTAGACAGCATGAATATTGCACAGGTGTGCCTTAGCCTGCCCACAATAGAAGGGCACTCTGAAATATGCAATTGATCACACAGCACAATGCCACAGATGTCGCAACTTTTGAGGGAGCGTGCAATTAGCATGCTGACTGCAGGACGTCTACCAGAGCTGTTGCCCGTGAAATGAATGTTCATTTCTCTGCCATAAGCCTTCTTCAAAGGTGTTTCAGAGAATTTGGCTGTACATCCAACCGGCCTCACAATCGCAGACCACGTGTAACCATTCCAGCCCAGGACCTCCACATTGAGCATGTTCAGCTCCAGGATCGTCTGAGACCAGCCACCCAGACAGCTGCAGCAAAAATCGGTTTGCATAACCAAAGAATTTCTGCACAAACTGTCAGAAACCGTCTCAGGATCAAATGACCAATGGTGGGTGGGGTTGTGGTATGGGAAAGCGTATGTTATGGAAAACGAACACAGGTGGATTTTATTGCTGGCATTTTGAATGCACAGAGATACCGTGTTGAGATCCTGAGGCCCATTGTTGTGCCATTCATCTAAGACCATAACCTCATGTTACAGCATGATAATGCATGGCCCCATATTGATCTGTACCCAATCCGTGGTAGCTGAAAACATCCCAGTTCTTGCATGGCCAGCATACTCGCCCTACATGTCACCCACTGAGCATGTTTGGGATGCTCTGGATCGACGGATATGACAGCGTGTTCCAATTCCAGCCAATATTCAGCAACTTTGCTATTGAAGAGGAATAGACCAACATTCCACAGCCCACAATCAAACAACCTGATCAACTCAATGCGATGGAGATGTGTTGCACTACATGAGGCAAATGGTGGCCACACCACATACTGACTGGTTTTGCCACATCTGTGGCCTCGTGCTGTGTGATCAATTGCATATTTCAGAGTGGCCTTTTTATTGTGGGCAGGCTAAGGCACACCTGTGCAATATTCATGCTGTCTAATCGGCACCTTGACATACCACACCGGCGAGGTGGGATGGATAATCTCGGCAAAGGAGACGTGCTCACTAACACAGATTTAGACAGATTTGTGAACAATATTTGATAGTAATGGGTCCTTTGTGTATGTAGAAAATGTTTCAGATCTTTGAGTTCAGCTCATGAAAAATGGGAGCAAAAACAAAAGTGTGCGTTTAAATTTTTGTTCAGTGTAGATCTAGTCTTTCCCCTCAGAGAACCTGGGTTACAATGTAACCAACCGTTATGATTCTCCAATCTACATAACACAAAATTTCTGAACCTGTGCTGAATGAATTAAAGTAAACTGATTTTTTCTTTAACTACACTCAGAAAGAATTAGGCTGGACATTATAACTTCTCAACAATTTATCATTTTTTAGTTATCCACCATGGTTAGACTTTCATTTAAATTCCATCACTTTCTACAGAATGTTTTACCTGTTTGGAACATTCAACAGAAAAATCGTCACGCCAAAATATATAAAAGTTGATTTGAAATGCTGTTCTAGTTTCTGTAAACTTAGCAAGTGGCTAAACCCAACCCAAAGCTGAGACAGATCACTGGTGTTCTGGTTAAGTGCTTGAGACAAATTGCAATGCTGTAAAATGAACTAATAGAGCCAGACTGCTACTACCATTCCATAAGATCTTTTAAAGTAGTCAGCAAAACCACAATGTGATGTATCCACATGACAACTTCATGTGGTAAGTGAAGGGAGTAGCATTAAAAACAAACACTACTCCTACACTAGTTTCGCACCACCTCAGTAAAAACTACATTTGGCATTCCTTCTACGAGCGTCATATCAAAGAACAGATTTGTACTGAGTGTACTTATAAGGTGGTGACTGCTGCACTTCCTAACCTTAGAAAATCAACAAACAAATGCATATACTGTTTAGCGATATCAACTCTCCATATCTCAGGTGCATTTTAGAGTTGTTGCTCAAACAAATGTTAGGTGGTAGCCTGGTTGACTAAGCACCTACCCAAGGACATATCTTCACATCTCAACTGCCTCATGAGACTGATAAGAAACATAAGAAACTCAAATCACAGTGGACAAATACAATTTAAAATGTGCCTTATTAAGGCTAAATGATAGCGTATCACTACGTATGTGTATTTTGTAATTTTTTTGCTGCATTCATAACTTTAAGGTAGTATATTGTCCAGCACTCCGATTAGCTGGGTAGATGCCAGAAGTGGACACACCTCTAGATTATGACCAATCCGTCCAGAGGTTGAACCAATGCTACCTGTTTAACTTATTTTTTTAGGAAGTTTATTTCCCAGACTGGACGCATGAAAGACTGCGTGCAAGAACAGAAGTCATAAGGTAAGTTTCTTTTAGATACAGTCTCACATAAGTTATTTTTCATTTTAAAACTTTATTTAGAAAAAGAAATCCTTAAGTTTAATGGAAGAACTAAACGTGGAACACAGTTGAGGCAAGCTTCAGCTTAAACTCTTCTAAAGGTAGCCGAGGTAGAGAATCAAGTATCTTTTGTGCTGTCAAGGGATTTTATGTTATAAACCAGTGAGCATTTCATTAATTATTAATGGCATATTTCTTTAAAAGTGTCAAATTTTGAACATAAGTGAAAACATGCTGTGAGAAGTGGGAGAGCTTTAGGTTTCAGAGCTTCCGAGCAAAAGTTTGATCAGAAATGGGAACACCTATTTGAAAGACCCACTGTTGGGAACAGATATTCTCTGGATGATTGCATAACTTTGCCTTTATGTTTTCTTTTTTTTCCTGCCTCCCCAAATATTCACAGCTTAAAAGAAACGTATTGAAGCCTGAACTCATGGATTGGAAAGTTCTTCAGGGTTTTCTCAGCGGAGTCAACAAGTACTCCACTGCCTTCGGAAGGATCTGGTTATCAGTGGTCTTTGTTTTCCGGGTGCTGATCTTCGTGGTGGCTGCTGAGCGAGTCTGGAGCGACGAGCAGGGGCACTTCGACTGCAACACCCGTCAGCCTGGTTGCACCAACATCTGTTATAATCACTTCTTCCCCATCTCCCACATTCGCCTTTGGGCCCTCCAACTTGTTTTCATCACTTGCCCTTCATTCATGGTGGTGCTCCACGTGGCTTACCGGGAAGAACGGGAACGCAAGTACCGAGCCAAGCACGGCGAGAACACTCGGCTCTACGACAACCCGGGACAAAAGCATGGCGGCCTGTGGTGGACGTACCTGATGAGCCTCTTCATCAAAACTGGTTTCGAGATCACTTTTCTCTACTTGCTCCACTACATCTACGATAGCTTTAAGCTGCCCAGGAAGGTTCAATGCGATGTCAGCCCCTGTCCAAATCTGGTTGACTGCTACGTGTCTCGACCCACTGAGAAAACCGTTTTTTCCTACTTCATGGTGGGGGCATCCGTCCTGTGTGTGGTGCTCAACATTTGTGAGATATTCTACATGATTGCGACCAGAGTGGTGAATCGAAAACAACACGGCAGCATCAGAATTGCATCGAGAAAGGTCCGCCCTGAAGTGGACTGCGACGCCTGCAAGTCCTCTCACGCTGAATAGCTGAAGACCCTTTTGGGGAACTAAAAATCAAGAAATCTTCTCATGCCCCTTATTAATCACCTATTTTTATGCATTAAATGTTAAGTAGTTTCACCTTTGGCTTTCAAATCTTTGATATGGTGTTCTGCACATTTGAAGATCCCTTCCTAATATCATTCAAATGTAAGATTATCCACTTGACATCTGACACCTCATATCAGCTTCAACTGAACTTAAGTGTGTGTGTGTTTTGTTAACCTTCAGAAGGGATCTCTCCACGGCCCTAATGGGCACGATGATAATTTAGGCCTCTGCGTGTTGTTGAAAAGCACCCATGAAAAAAGGTGAACGCATTCAGGTTTATTGTATTTACATTTATAAAGTTTCCAAAATGTAATTTAATGTAAATGTTTTAATTCCCTGTTGTGATCTTACAAATAAATGTTTGATGAAATATCAAGAACTGATTTTCACATTATGGGCTGAACATTCACAGATTTGTGACTACAGACAGTACAACACTGAGCAAAAGTGACTATTAATTTGTTTGACTTAGTCGCTCAAAGTGACAAAAATAAACATTACAACTTGTATATATTTGTAAAAATCTGTAAAATGGTCATTCAGCTTCATATTTCTTCAATAGCGTCACTGATCCACTTGGTGGCAGTCAAGCCTTATTGGCATATGAAGGGACAGAACCCATCAGTGATATCCCCAGAGTTCCGTTGTTTTGTGACTGTTTACTATTTGGGCTTCTTTAAAAGATTATTTTGCTGTAGTTGCTACACATTCTTTTACTCTTGTGCAGCTTACTTATTTATTCAAACCAGCCACATATATTGAAGTTTGGACTTTTTTTTTAATGGCAACTGTCAAACTGTCAAAAGTTACATCACAATCATTCAAATATTTTTACATTTAAAAAGAAATCTATAGGCAGTGCCCTGTCTGCATCAAGGTTAGAGAATATTATATATATAATTATTGAATTTACTTTCGAAATAAAAGCATGTATTTAAAACAATTTATTCAGGGGAGAAAATTTTTAATCCCAATTTATTTTTCCACACAAGAAAGAATCAGTTTAAAGTACTAAATTCATCGTGTCTTTTCATAATAACAAAAAAGCTTATCGACAGTTTTGAAAACTCATCAAGTATGCTCCACTTTCAGGGATCATTGTTTTATTTTGAAAAGCGTCGTGCAGGAGTGTCAGAGACTGTGACTTTCTGTCCGACGGGATTGTGGAGATCACTTTGAAGAAGAAGCGAGAGCACGCTGACACCGTCCCACCCCAGGACAGCCTGTCTTTTGAATTAAAATAATTTAAAACAAACAAACAAAAAAACCTACCGAATGGTGACCTGACAGAGATGGGCGACACAGGTAACAAACAGGAGTGTGGGGGTTTGGGGATTTAATCGCCTGTAAAGTGCTGTCAGTGTTCCAGACTTCAGTGTTTGTTTGGGTGTGGTGGTGGTGGTGTGGAACTAGTTTATCAGGTCACTTTTAATACCGCAATAACAGAGTGACTGCTTACTTTGGGCATTTTCTCTAAACGTTATCACCCTTTACTGGCAGATTCAAACAAACCCAGCACCGTGTTACATTGTCACAACTGTCATGCCTGTGCGTATGGGGCGCCGTTTGTAAAGTGAAACATGCTGAAATTAACGGCAACATTTTTCCACATTTAGCTCAAAACAAGTCATTTTTTACAACATTTAGTAAAATATTTGTAACTTTTCATATTTAAAACAGAATTTTAAATGTTAAATCAAAATGTTAAATATTCAATCTAAATGTTAAATGTTAAATCTAAATATTATATTTAAATCTAAATGTTAAATGTTAAATCTAAATATTATATTTAAATCTAAATCTAAATGTTAAATCTAAATGTTAAATGTTAAATCTAAATATTATATTTAAATCTAAATCTAAATGTTAAATCTAAATATTATATTTAAATCTAAATCTAAATGTTAAATCTAAATGTTAAATGTTAAATCTAAATATTATATTTAAATCTAAATGTTAAATGTTAAATCTAAATATTATATTTAAATCTAAATCTAAATGTTAAATCTAAATGCTAAATGTTAAATGTTAAATCTAAATGTTTAGGCTAACATGCAAATTTATTGCACGGATCAGCGGAAATACCAAAATAAAAGCTTTCCGAAAACCTCCGGTGCAAAAGTGTGCCGTAGTGGTCAGACACGTTCGTTCTCACTCCCAAAGTGTAATAATTTTCGCTAGGTGACAAATTGTCAACATTTCATGCTTTCGGGTACCCAACACGTTCCTAAATTACGGCATCGGAAAAAGGAGAGCACATGAGAACCGTTTGGACTCAATCTACACATGTTCGTTCATTTTCTAAAAATCGATTTGGAAAACACTATTTTACGTCATTTAACTGCTAGTAAAGGTTAGGAATAAGGTTATAGTTAGGGATAAGGTTAGGTTTAGGGCTGGAACACATGGCTGAAACGTCTATTATGGCGGGACCGTCATTCCACTGGAATTCAGCCATAACCCGACCATGAGAAAGCACGTCCGGCGATTTAGCTGAAAACATCGGAAGATCCGTTTTGTCGGCCATCCAAAGGTTCAGCAGTAGTGCACTCTTAGTAGCTGCAGTCTTCACTTCACAATCGCTGCAGCACATGTCCAGCAAAATCGCTGGACATGCTCGTAGGCAAGAAGTGAAGCAGCACATGGCGGGGAGAAGTGAGGAGGAGAACAGACACAATTTTGCACCAGAGGTTTTCGGGAAGCTTTTATTTTGGTATTTCCGTTGATCCGTACAATAAATTTGCATATTAGCCTAAATATTTAGGTTTAACATTTAGATTTAACATTTAGATTTAGATTTAACATTTAACATTTAGATTTAACATTTAACATTTAGATTTAAATATAATATTTAGATTTAATATTTAACATTTAGATTTAATATTTAACATTTGATGAAAAGTTACAAATATTTTACTAAATGTTGTAAAACATTACTCGAAAAAATATGTTTTTGTAAGGTTTTGAGCTAAGTGTGGAAAAATGTTGCCGTTAATTTCAGCATGTTTCACTTTACAAACGGCGCCCCATATGTGCGTGGATGTTTCACGTGGCAAGAGGCGAGTAAACATTGACCAGATATTTAGTTGTGAAACTGTTGTGGCTGGAATAAAGGAATAAATATGGATCTCACTTGGATGGATCGCCGTACGAAATGTATGCGAGGACCGGTGTCACGTGACTACACAAACCCCATCAATATTTATTATATAAATTGAGATGTGATCCAGATTTCATAAGAAAGGGAGCCCTGTTCATGCAAATTTTCTACTTCATAATTTTACTTTCTACTTGAGCAGCTTTGGCAGTTCAGAATAATCCTTCTTTCTATTAAACTGGGCCTTGGAGCATCCCTTGATTTTATCCAGCGTCTGTGTTAGCGCCTTTCCCCTTCCCTTAAAGCTTGCTTTCTTCTGATTGGCTGTTTCTAGTAAACAGAAGGTTTCAACAACAGGCTTTTCACAAGATGAGATTAAAGTTGATGTGCAAGCCTAAAAGTGACACAAACAGGGCGTGTGTCTTAGATGATGACATTGATGACATCACACAGAGCCAAGAGTAGATAAGTTTGTCAGGAACTGTATCTGTAGTTTCCGCTTTTGGATAAGAGGGATTATTGTGCATTACATGAAGCTAATGTGGATTTATTGTGAGCATTGACTGGTTGAAAAGATGGGGGGGGAAGCATAACAGGCCAAGTGTAGATTTTTTTGTCTTGGAAATCTTTGGTCACCTCTTACACACTTGTTTGGGACAGCCTGCGCTCAGCAGCTAATTATTAACACGGCTGACATCTCCGCCGTGGTTTTGACCTGGCCCCTGTGTTTCTGATCAATACGGCGTGGATGACGTAAAGTCACCTCTCTCTGCTCTGCTGCTGTGGATCGACCTGCTTCTTTTCTCCCTCTCCCATCAGGACTGTGCTGCGACAGCCTGCAGGATCCCAAGGCCCTGATGAAGATGGGTCTGAGCGTGATTCTAGTCGGTCACGTGAACTTTCTGTTGGGAGCTCTGGTGCATGGCGTGGTGCTCAGGTACATCAGCATCAAAAACCAGGACCGTACCATGCAGTACGCCATCGCCAACGTGGTGGCCATCACATCTGGCATGCTGGTGAGCATTTTGGCACTAACAAGGATAGAGCTAGAGGACATCTCTGGGGAGGGAATTTTAGGAAATCTAATCTTTATTAATAACTGTATAAATCCCACTGTGGCTAATTTAGCTCGGAGAAGCTTGTTGTGCATAAAACACAGTAACATCCAAACAAACACGTGAGCTAAAGCATCAAAAACCTTTACTAGCAGGTAAGGTATAACGATGCCCTGAAGGTAACAAAGAGAACTGACCTGCAAGACCACATTCAAAAAGAGCCAAAACACCCCCAATCCTCCTCTCTGGAGGATTGGTTAAAAAAATGTCATCTTTGCTTCACTCCTGTGATTTTAGAACAGGTTTTAACTATTTAAAAATAAATCTTTGGCATGAATACTACTTCTACTATTATCACTAACAATAACGACAACAATAATAATAATAATGATAAAATATTGCCTTTTCGTTATTATTTATAGTTAGGGTTTTCCAAAATACCATATGCTACAACATGCAATATACAAACATAAACATATTCTAGTTTTTCATGCTTTCTGTTAGCTTAGTGATGCTAAAGCTTGAAAATGTGCAACAGACTGGAAAGAAGTTTGCCCTCAGACTAAAAGTTCACTCTCAGTGCTGCAGCCAGTGTAAACTTTTCAGCTGCCACTCCCATTCAGTCGGGGAATAGTCATTTGTGACTAAAGCTTTATTTGCTTGATCATACTCTGTCACCCTGAGTGTCACACATCCAAAACAGTGTGGACGAGTTAAGGTCACGTGGAGCAGTGTGCAGATAAAGATGGTGGTGAGACGCGACAGGCCGGTGCGCGGGTTTTGTAAAGCCGATGGTGATTTTGTGTGTGTGTGTGCGTGCTTGTTTGTTTTCTTTGTGCAGGGTAAGAATTCTTTTATGTGCGTACGTTTTATTAAAGTATTACCAATGTTGCCTTCCCTCGTGGTGATGACAGCACAAAAAACAATAGAATTAACTGTTTTTCAGGATTCTTAAGTTATAAATCTGTAGACAAATTCACAGCTGTGAAGTAAAAATATACTTTACTGTACTTAAGAAGATTTTTCAGATGTCTTTACTTTACCTTTTCAGCTTTTTACTTGTACTCCCTACATTTTAACCAAGATATCTGCACTTTCTACTCATTACATTTTCCAAACAAGTTCTTTACTCCAGGTTTAACGCTTTTGAGGGGGCTATTATTTCCTGACATTGCTAATGTTCAAACATTAAAGTGATTGGAGGCTAAATGGGGAGAACAAGAAAAAGGACAATCAGTCCTGCTGGTGTCTCCATCACTGGTGCTTATTACAAAGAAATCTAAGAGGCAAAAAAAACCCAAATATATAATCTATACACATTATATCATTTGTTGTACTATACTCAGGGGTTAAGTGGGCCGGAACAATCTGGGATGGCTTTTTTGGTGCAGATCGTCCAAAAGTTGTGGTTGAAGTACTTAAACATCTAGCTAGCGCTACAGAAGAGGCGCTAGCGTAAATTAAGTAACTTTTTGTTTGTTCAGGGGTTTGTTTTGGTAGCAGGTAATTTCAAATAAGTTTCTAAAAGCTCAAGAGATATCAACAAATACACTATCTATTTGTATGCAGTTGGTCACGCGTTACGTCTGTTGGCTAAAGATCCAGCTGCTGTATTTCCCAGGAAAAGAAGAGTGCTCGATAAGTTCACTCAGAGCTACCATCTGATAATCCCGTTGATCCTGCATCGTCATCGGTCCAGGATCAAGATTCCAGCTGACCAATGATGTTGTCTGAGGAGTCAGTTAGCATTAGCCAGGAAGTTAGCTAATGCTTTTAAAAACTATTGCTAGATAACCAGCATGAGTAGCGTAAATTTGGAGTAACAGCAAAGCTGATAATATTGATAATATACACATTATATAATATAACTTAATAAAGGAAACACTTGACATGCTTACATTTTTTCCAGACGAGAGTTTCTTATAAACAAAGGCTTTTTTCTTTTTCTTTTTCTCCGAATTCCAAAGTTATGACACAACGTGATCAATCAATTGCAATGTCGATCCTGGAACAACATTATTATCATAATGCATGATTAACACCAACACAGGGATATGGCCAGATACGCTCAATCAGAGATGGAGAAAGATGTAAGACAGATAAGATGGGCTTTTACGCTGCCCTCACATGCTGAATGTCACTTTGCTTCCAAATAACAGATGGTTATCGGAATTCAAATTTTAAAATGATAAGGTTTGTATTCATGTTTGTGGGAGGTTCAAAAAGCTGGTAGAAATATCCAAAGAGTTACTTTTTACTTTCTGCCTTTTCTCTCTTACTTGAGTTAATAAATTGAATCAGTACATTAACATTTACCAAAGTACTTGTTATCACAAGCATCTGTATGTCTGCTTTAGTGATGAATGTGCTCACTTTTGCCATCTCTGGACAAATATCACAGGCTTAAGTTGACTTTTCGTTTCTAATCTGCAGCTCCGGCCTTTGGTTAATTGGACTACCCCAACTCTAGTTAAAAGTTGCTGATGTCGTTCATAGGGGATTGATGTGATGTGCTCGTTACATATAAGAATGAAACAAAGTCACAATGACTCTGCTGTAAGATGTGACCACATTTTAAGACCGGGTTCACTTCTGGCCGTTCTTTGGGTTTGTGCCATAAATGATTCTCCTTGCTGCTATGAGGAAGCAATTCTGAGAATGACATGCAGCACATTTTGTTTGTATGTGAAAATAGGTCAGTGTTAAAGTTCATTAAAACCATTTTTAATGTATAAAGAACTCTAGAATAATGTTTAATCTCTCTCTGAAAAATGTGGCTTGTGTAGGAATCTGAGTGGTTTTCACTTAGTTTGAGCCACTCTGTGAAAATGCTGCTCCTCAGGTCTCCTAAAAATATCTTTCAAAAATACAGAGGCACTTAAAGATGTGTTTGAATTGCTTGCAGTGCGTTCCCTGTTTTGTTTTTGGGGTTGTTTGTTTTTTTGGTTTTTTTTAATGTCATCTGTGTTCTTTCCGCAGGGAGTTGTTGCTGGTATTCTGGCTATCGTCCTCTCTAAAAACAAGAAGAGTAAATCCCTGGTTAGTATCTCTGCAGTATGCTTTTTAATCTCAATATCTGGAGAGTAGGTTCCTTTCTCCTTGTGTTATCCACCTTTTCTCCTTTGCTTTTCTTATTGATCTAACATTACTGTGCCAGAGCGGTACCTTCACAGCGCTCCAGCACTCTGCTCGCCTGCTTCTGCTTTGATATTTTACAGCTTCCTCACCTTTTTCTCTCTGTCGTGACTTAAAAAAAAGCCTGCACATTGCCTCAGGTGTCTGAATTCAGCCCTGCAGAGCTGGATTTGTGTGTGTGTTTCTGTTTTTTCCCCCCCCTCTCACTCCCTGCATCTCCTCTATGTTTATTCAGTTAGCTGTCGGGCTGCTCAGACGGGACTGACGAGGCAGCTTGCTCATGAGTGAGCTGTAGCTTGATAAACCACTCCGGTTTCCTTTGTTAGCGAGTGCCTCTGTGAAGCAGGCTGTGAGGCGGCAGTTTGAGTCCATTACATCTTGTTATGTAACTCAGTCATCCACTTCAAGTGATGAGTGAACACGGGCCTTTCTTACATGTGGCTGCTGTAGGTGTTTTTTTTGTTTTTTTGTTTTTTTTCTTTTTACTGGCCTTATCGGGTTTTGATTTAACAGCTCAGTCATCTTCGCAAATTGACTTTAAATATCTGGGCACGCTGATTAGCTGCATCTCACCTTCTGTAAATTCGGGATAGGTTTCTCCACCCAGCGTATCATTCATTATCGTGCATCATTCATTTGTAATACAAGTATGGCTAAGGCTTGCATAATCAGTCTATTTTCTTATCTTCTTATCATGCATGGAGGCTGGAGCTTATTCCTGTTGCATTGTCCAAGAGGCGTGCTACATCCTGAATGGATTACTATTATTTTTTCTTTTTTAAAACAAATCATAAGTAGTTCCTTAGAACAGGCGATGACTGTACTTAGGAAACACCATTTGTAAAACATCAGGAAATAAACTGCAATGTTTGTGTTCATGGTTAAATTGGACTTTAGTTCCCATTTAAAATTGTTTCTAACCCAAGCTTTTTATTGTGATCAAATCAAAATTTTCATTTCAAATCTATAACCCACAGTCTACTTGTGTTTTGTGGACTTGGAGAAGGCATTCAGCCGCATCCCTCCGAGTGTCCTGTTGGGGGTGCTACAGGCTATGGGGTGTTTGCTGTAGATCTACAGCAGGAGCTTGATCGAAACTACTGACAATAACCCAGACTCGTTCCCAGTGGGTGTCGGACTTTGCTACGCCTGCCCTTTGTCACAGATTCTTTTCAGATATTATGGACATAGGTTTTAGGTGTAGCCAGGTGGCAGTAGGCTTTCACTTTAGTGGCCTCAGAATCTCATCTCTGCTTTTTGTAGATGATGTGATTCTGTTGGCATCCAGCTGTCCTCGCCAACCGGCCCTGAACAATTGGTAGAAAATGGATGGATTGCTAAGCCCCTAATCACACAGGCCTATCTTAATTGCCGACTGGTTGGTGAGTGGTTGTTGGAGGTTGTTTGTTGTGATGGGTCACAGAAGGAGTGCTGCAGCAACCCCCAACCTCTGAAACCAACACTTGGCAAAAGGAGCAACATACAAACAGGCAACCACAGCAATGTTTTTAGCAACAAAAGCAATTGCAAGGAGGTTGTCAGCACAGCTGTATAAGTTCTTACAACTAGTTTCACCTAGCAGCAGCTAACAACCTCCAGCAACCACTTGCAAACAATTTAGGGAATATAAATTTTTCCCTAGCAACTAGGGGCTAGCAGAAGGCATTGCAGGTTTTTAAGCCTGTATGATTGGGGCTTTAGCAGTCGATTTCACAGCAACTGCCAGCAGCCTCTAGCAAGTACTTGCAACAGATTGGGTAACATTTTTTTTTTAATAACAACCAATGGTTGCCAGGCAGTCTTTTAACGCTCTCTAATCCTGTGTGAGCCTAAGGCTGCTATCTGTAGCTTTTACTGTGCAGCCATCAACATTCAAATCATAATGTGTTTTGAGAGCCTATTATGTTATGCTACGCTACGCTATGCGACGCTATGCTAGGTTATGGCAGTGCAGTTAGGACAAGCAAGGCGAGAGAACATGTCCAAGCAGAGAAAAACCGATTTCTTTTGGGGTTTTGGTTTAGTTTTTTTTTTTTTGTAATTTAGGGTTGTTGTTTTTTTGTGTGTTGAGGGAGCTCAACTCTTTGAAGACAGAAACACAATATTCAGACACAGGAGTTCTTTTGACAAGAACACTTATCTTGGTATATGAAATCTGATAGGCTGCATAATGACAAATTGCGATAAATGGAGGGACACAACAATTTAAAGTCTACTTAATCAAAAGCATGGTTAAAGTCCAGCCATCCATCCATTTTCCTCTGCTTATCCAATTAAGGGTCACGGAGGCAGCTGGATCATATCATAGAGGCAGAGGACGCCAGTCCACCACAGAGCTAACAAAGAGAGACAGACAACCATTCATACTCACATTCATACCTATGGTCAATTTACCTAACCCCATTTGTGTGTTTGGACTGTGGGAGGAAGCCAGTATAACTGGAGAGCCCACAGACACAGGGAGAACATGCAAACTCCACACTGCACCCCCTTGTTGAAGTGAGGTTGTTAAATATCAAACTGTTTTGTTTGTTTTTGTCGAGTTAGTCTTGCTGTTCTTTGCATATTTCCTTATGAGCATCAGTCAAAATCCTGCTCCTGCTTTTGCTTGCTTTACTATCCTAACTAACCCTGTTTGTATTGCAAACTTCTTGTTGTGGGTGGGGAGGATGAGGAGTCTATGGCAGTGAATCAGCACGCACAGTAGCAGGAGTGGAACCAGAATCATTAATACACCTGTGCTTTTGTTGCTCTGACATGTCAGAGCGGCTGCTGTGAATAATCTCAGCTCTACTAATGTTTGTTTCTCTTTTGCTGTCTTTTTCTTTTCTTTTTTTTTTAAAGTCTATTTCCAGCCGGAGATGCCCCAGTTTCCCAGCTGGGAGAATTTTTCTTTCCTGATCATCTAAGTTGTGCTTCTCTCTTCCTTTCCCCTAGACGTGGTCTCTCTTCACAGTGAGTCTGGTTGCGTCTTTCACGGCAGCGGCTTCAGCCATTGGCCTTTTTGTATCCGTGGTGAGGGCCATTGTTCACGGTGGGCGGAGCTTCATGACTTTCTGCCGCTTCCCTGACGCCACCGGCTACTCCAGCGTCACCAACGAGTGTCCCTTTGACCCCACACGCATCTACGTGAGTGCATTAGTGTGCGCGCCACAGATGCTGAGATCAAGGCGTGACCTGTGACCTTTTCTGCAGCAGATGGCTCTTTGAACAGCTGACTGTTGTGACATAATCACAACAGAGGCTGTGCATCATGGTGGCAGCATTCCCTTTTGTACTGTGTGTGTGTGTGTGTGTGTGTGTGTGTGTGTGTGTGTGTGTACATAAGGGTGTGGGAGAAGGAGTGGGAGGCTGGGTGTCTGTCTTCTCTGTCACTCAGGCTGTCGCGCTTGTGCGGCTGACGGACTGGTGGCACAAACGCTGACCTGACCCCGTCAGCTAGCTCCGGGCTGCGTCCAGACACCGTTACGCTGTCAGACGCACTAAGCCTCACGGAAACATCCACACATCAGCAACACTTTGGCGTTTTAACACCCAATGTAGTTGACAATTTGTTGCATCAGTCACCTTCATCTTAGAGTGGATTTATTCTTGGCACGGGGGTTAATGGCACAGCTGCTGCACGCGGTGTAGGTTATCATTTGTAAGTAGCACAGACACGGCCCTGGGCAGACAGTCCCCACCGCCACAGTGTTTGTATTCTTTCAGTCAATTGTGTGGCTCAGTGAGTGGGAGGGCTTCACTTGTCTAAATATTGAAAAGGAGACTGCCATCGTGCAGTCGTGTCTGCAGTGCAGATCGTCACTCATCATGATAGAGAGCGGTAATCACAGGGTAGCATGTTATGCCTCGTTTCTACATTGTTTCTCTGGGTGAACAGATATGTTTCCGTTTGAATCAATACATCTGTGTAAGTCATTTAACCATGATTGTAACCGCCTGTGGATCGTGCTTTTATTTACTTTATTTAGTGCCCTACACCGGATGATTGGGATGAGAACAGGGCAAATCATCCTGAAGATCACAAAAGACAGTTAAAGCAACGACTACCTCAGACGTACTACCTTAAAACCCTGACATTCAAGCTGCTTTAAATAACACAGGTGTTTTCACATTATAGTATAGCTGAAGAAGCCAAAAATGCACTAGTGCTGCTTGTTATTCCATTACAGTGGTCCCTCGCTATAACGGTTCACTTTTCATTCAGCTTGTCAACTTTACATAAATCTTCCATCGCTAGCAGCGTGAGTCTGAAGTGCTGTACAGTATGTAAGTTTTCTCCCCGACAAACACAACAATGTCGATGAAATGTTTTGCACCGTCAAAGGAAACCATGGGTGCCTTTGGTTTCATTCTATAATACTGAACTTATTTTTCTACGAAGGTTTGAACTTTGAGAGAAAAGTGTGAAAATGTTCATGCCTGTCTGAGAAAAGTGTATAAAGTGTGCAGTGAGGGATTTTACAGCCTTAAAACATCTATAATAAATGTAAAAAATAATATAAGGTTGGCTACTTTGCCGATTTCACCTATCACCGGTTATTTTTAGAAAGTAACTCCTGCGATAAACGAGGGACCACTGTATATACAGAATTATTTTGTTCAATATTGAGATTACAATTGCTCATAGACCTAAAAATAATTAATAACAAGTACATTTATTAGAATTTAAGCAAAGAGAAGAAACTTGTCTTGTTAATTATGTGGATTTCTTCGTGTTTTATTTAGAATTCCTCTGAATAAATAAATCAGTGTGAACCTGCCACAGTCTGACAGGACGTGAACGGGAGTGGTAGAAGGAAATGAAGCTAAAAGGAAAAGTGGGGGAATTATTGCAAACCTGAGTACATAATGTAAAGCGTAATAATAGGATTCCTATTGAAGCTCCTGGCACACAGTTTTTGTGCTGATGTTAATGCCAGAGGAAGATTGTGGTTACGGAGTCTGTATTTAGTATTTAGCGACCCTCGCTCTCCATCTTTGTCTGCTGACACTTTGCGGCTGCGTTGCTGTGCAATCATACCACTTACAGGTGATCCTGAAATATCTAGGAGGGAAGACAAACTCTCCAGCTGCAGCAGTGCCATCCTATTACAGTACCATTCTCTGACCTCTTTAGGACGACCCTCAAAGACTTGGAAAGACAGACTGCATGACTGGGTGCTTGGTTTTATTCCCCGGTGGCAATGCGACTAAAAACACCTGAATTCAAATCTTAAGAGGTGTGGCTCAATACTTTTGTTAATATAGTAAGTAGCTACCATCAAAGCTTATTAAAAAGAGAGAAAATGGGTTCAATAAGTCAACAGAGAGCTGTGAAACAAAACTTGAGCAATACTTATCTGAAATTTAGACAAGTTGTAAGATTTAAACCCAAGTTCTTCTGCTTTCTTTCTGGAATGAGGGTTGGATTATCATCTTTGGTGTGTTTCTTCCTCATTTTACAGCCACATAAAGTTTGTGATGGACCAAATTTAAGCTGGACCCCAGAGCATCAAGTTTTGTCTTAGTCTATTGAGACTGCAGACCATGCTGTTCACTCAGTGCTGTGTATTAGCTAGCGGCCTCCAATATGGCTGCCGGAGGGTACATTACATCACCTGAGAGTGTATTTTGGACTTTTCTGGCACACATGCATGCTTAGAAGCAGTAATGATGGTTATGCAAGCCTTATGTTCTGTGCTTCCTGCATATTTCATCATGATTTACAAAGAGAGCTCCAAATTTCGAGCGGTGCACTTTTTTATTCTCTTTGTAGTCTGCGAGTCAGTGTGCCCAACAACAAAAGGCATCTCTATTTCTTTGAATTCCCTCTGTAGCATTTCATGCTGATACTCTGCTCTTCATATTTTATCCAGCCTCTCCTGTGCAAACTGAAATTCCCACAGCAGGGCTGCAAACCAGAAGTTTTTTGGTTTGCAGCCCTGCTGTGCAATCTGAGAACACGTTCACTTCTGTATCACATTATTATCTATACAGTTTCCCCATTTTATGTGAGACTGCAGAGCACCTTTACAGATATTGTTCTCTGAATGGTCCAGCTGGTGTTTCCCCCCAGCTCATCTTCACCTTCTCCCTCCCCAGAGTACGACTCTGATCCTTTGGGTGCCTTTAATCGTGACTTGTCTCATCCAGCTGGTGTTTTGTGCCCGCTGCCTTGCTGTCTGCATTTCCTTTCTGGGTCTGCCTTGCTGTCCTACCAGGAAGAGACCCAGAGGCAGATCGGTGAGATTTTGACTCGGGCATCTATTGAACTCTACTGGCAGTCTGTGCACTATAACTAAAGCCATTTTTTGGTGTCTCTGTAGATTAACGCTGTGGTGCCAATCGAGAAAGGTGCTTCTCCTCACTATTCTAGACCTCCAAGTAGCTACAATGAACCTGCCCCTGGGCATACAGAGCCTCCAAGAACCTACAGCCAACCACCAAGAACCTACAGCCAACCACCAAGAACCTACAGCCAACCACCAAGAAGGAGCACAGCAACTCCACAACGCCAGCACCGAACTCCCACCCCTCCACAGTATCTTCCTCGTCAGGACCACAGTCTTCCTCCCTCGGAGAGGCAACCTCTTCGCCAGCCACACAGAGTGAGATCAGACAGAGAAAGGCAAGTAACAAGAGCTGGAAGCCAGCAAATGGCGACGGAGCAACACCGGCTCTTGCAAAGGGGTGCGCTGGAAAGGTCCAGCTTCTGGATATAGCGTTATTTAACGCAGCAGATCTACTCGAAGAGCCAGAAAAAGTCTTATGAGGTTCCAGCTACAGTACTTGGAGTCAAACTTCATGCTCATAACCTGTCAGTACTTTAAAGCTCTGGCCTCAGATGAAGATGTTTCTTTAAGAGGAAGTGATCTATGAATATTCTGAGGCCCAGATTATTTCCCAGTTATGGGAATTTGTCAGTTCTCATTCTTGTCATCGTGTTGAACAAAATATGCACATCAGGAGGAGAGATGCTGCAAAGAGAGGACACAGTGCCGGGTCTGAATGGGATTATGAGAAATAGCTGGTCAGTTTGTTGTCAAGGGTTGGATGAATGATCCGATGTCGCTGTGATGTCAGCTGTTTGGACCTGTTTAAAACTCGATTCACACTTTCCCATTATAAAGCCATGAGGCAGGGCTAATCTGGAAGTTAGCGCTCTCCAACACTGAAATCTCTACCACAATTCAAAGCTCAGTATTTCACACACGCCAAAATGTGACCACAAAATGTTTTCATTTTGGGGTTTTTTGGTGGGTTCTTTTGCACAATGCCAACAGAATTGGAAGAACAAGATGAAAATATTCTTTATTCTGACTTTGTTGGGATGTAAATGAGCTGCTCTCCTGGTGTTACAATGCTTTTCCTCTTTTTTGTTGAGGATAGAGTCTCAGGTTTGCCTAACAGGGTATGAGATGCATTTTGTTTTCTTCTTTTAGCTCAAGTCAAATTAGCACTGCACATGTTGTTTTTTTATTTCTTAAGTAAATAAAGTTTTTATTCAAGAAACCACACCATTGTTATGTGTTTTGTTTCTGAACTTTGGCACCAAAACATTTTTAGCACATGGTAACCCCAGCAGCTCGTGAGTGACCTGACAGGTAGGACTGGTTATGCATGACTTTTAGCCAGGTTGGTACAAACCATCTGCAGGTGCACATCAAGAAGTGCCTGGAATATATGGAATATATATGTCATGTTTTAATTATATTACAGTTCAGCTGTCAGATCAGACACGATCTGCTCAAACATAAGGCTTGGGGACCAGAATTGGGCCACCACAGACTCCCAATTCGGTCGACTGGGCTGCTTAGAAAAAAAGGAGAGAGAGGAATAAATGTTGGATTTTCTTTTTTTTTTGTACAATGGGTCTGCAAAAAAAGGCTATTTTATGTGAATTAACAAAAATCTTTCTGCTCCATAATTAGAGGACCGTCTGGGCAATGACCTACTTTTTTCTGCTGATTTTTTTTCCCCTTGTAATTTAAGCCCAAAGATTAATGCTAGCAGATGTTTTTCTTTAAAACTGCATTCTACATTTCTATATCATGTAGACAAAATGAGACATAATGTTAAAATTGAGCGTCTTATTCCTATATTAAGATAATTAAATGTTTTAATATGATAACAATGTCAGTGGTTTACAACTCTAAGCAGTTTCACAGAGTTTCATTGGTTTGATCCAGTTAAGACAAAAGCAGACTGTATGTCGACCCCTGTTTTAACGTTTTCCACACGTATCCAAAATGACCACAAATGAGGACGCAGTGCACACGTGCAGCTTAGAAACACATATATTTCGATTTCAGGTTCAACAGAATAAACATGACATCCTCAGATGAGGTTTTCATGCAACAGAAAAGTAGGAAGGAAGAAAGGAGGTTCGTATTTATCCAACACAAAGTACCAGTTTATCAGAGGCAGTGAGAATAGAAAAGGATTACACTGTAATAGATCAGAGAGTAGCAACTGTTGTTCTTTATCCTACCAGCAGAAGGCAGTGATACTAAAGGATCCCCAAAGCAGAGGTGCGGCTGGTTAGGAAGCTCCTGTGCGAGTGTTTGGTACTAGTTAAATGTCACATAGATGCAGCAGCACCAGGACGACTCTCAGCCCCCACTGCTACAGTAGTATTCAGTAAGTTAGCTAAATTCTGGCTAATGATGTCAAGATAAAATTGAAAGGAGACAACAACGTGTTGGCGTTCTGTCTGCAGAACACACCATTGAAACTAATATTACAGGCCAGAGGTGCCATGCTAACTTTGAATTAACAATAATCCTGATATTTAAAAATAAAATATCAATGTTGTTTGAGTATTTATGAATTCATGACTACATTCCTACCTCCTCCCTGCTGTGTTCATTAAAGAAGACAAAAAATTTGACCGAGAGCATTATTTTCTATAACTATTGAAATACCGTTAACGTGATTTTGTGTTTTGCTCATCACGACACCCATGATGACAAAATCCATCATGACAAACTGATATCCTTGAGTCCAACTTCCTTATGCGCCATATCCACACATTTTCTGTTAGCTTTGTCCCATTGCTTCAATTTGAGTGTGTGTGTTTTACCTTGAAAACACAAGAGGGCAATAGTGATCTGACTATCGGGGCATTTAAGGTGTGATAAAGGAGAATGGTGCTGGCCGTGCTGCAACCAGTGACTATGTTTATTTCAGGTTCAGGTCTTCTTCACAACTGCATCTGGTCTTTTTAAAACCTCAACAACGCACAATACTTATTTGTCACTGATACAGGAGACAAGTTTATAATTTTAAATTTTTTAAAATATATTCAACATTCTTTCTGCTCTATAAATAAGATCAAACAGATCCAAATTAGAACACATTTCCGGACTCGCTGCAATCTTGTGAAACACGTCCCTTCATCTAACTGCTCTGCAAGCAGACTAATCCAGGAGGTTAAAAAATAATAATAATAAAAAAATCATTAAGCTAGAGAGTGATAAACAAGCCCTTAGTGAGTTCTCGGTCTGTGAGAGGAAAAGAGAGCGCGGGGGTAGGAGGCCCGTGCTGTCCCAGAGCAAGACAAATATCGAATCATTTCTGCCTGGGGTCCATGCTGAGGAGGCTGAAGAGCTACAAAAAGTTACCGCTGTGCGTAAACTGTGTCTGTGGATTCTGTCGTCGCCGGGTTCGAAGGATCATGCAGTAGTATAGCGAACGGTTACAGCTATCTTAAGTTTACTGCTCATCGTTAAAGAACTTTAAAATACTTACAAATTAAGAAACAACACAACAAGATAATACTGTAAAAGTTAGCCTCAAGCATACAGTGTGTGTGTCCACATGCACGCACACGCATTCAGACCCAAATGCACAGCCATACTTTATATAAACAAATGGCGGCTCGACTGATATGTGCTACTGGTGTCATTGATCAAATGCAACAAATGGGATCCCGTTATTTTACAGGAATTCCTCCGCTCGAGTCCACAAAGAGGTCAATCTTGACTAGTTTTGTCTCTCTCTCTCTCTCTCCGTCACTGTAAACTGGAATTTGATCATCTCGATATTATCAAAGTAAAAGCGCAATAATGAGAATAAAAACTGAATAAATAAACCATGAAGGAGGAAAACAGTATGTACAAAAGGAAAATAAAAAGCATTTTAAATTAAAAAAAAAATAAATAAAAGAAATCCCACCCCCTTAAACTGCCCATTCAGATGGACCACCAGGAAGCTACGCTACATAATACTGCCTTTCAATGGCAAAGAGTGTGCGCCCCTATATGAAGACAGATGCACTTTATCTTATGATATACAGGCGTACAGTATATACATGATGTACATCTACATGTGCATATGTGTAGGAGTAGGAACTGATTCCTCTCCCTGCGGAAAAAAGAAAAAAACAAACAAACATCCACACGCCGTCACAAGCTCCTTGGAAATCCAACGCTCCAGAGAGAGAGAGACAGATATTATGGAACATTAGCAGGCGTCTCTGTCAGTCATACCTAGTCCCTTCATTCTCCCAAACATAAACGTAAAATGACAGTGACGACTTTCCTTATCCTCCTCTATCATCCTTGCACACAGTAACAACAACAACAGAAAGATATCAGAGACGAGAACCATCATGCATTGATTTGATTGACTGTTTCAATAGAGCAACAGAGCAAAGTTGTGGATAAAAAAAAAGAAGGTTGCAGTAGGGACAGTTTTAGAACTGGGAGGCCGAGCTGGGGTCACACTGGAGTAGCCTAACGATGGAGGGGTCACTTTTGGCACCTTTGATAAACTCCTCCAGGGATAGCTTGCCTGCAGGAGAGACAGGGAGAGAAGAAGAACAAAAACAAAAGAAATGCTGTTATTAATTTGTGGAGATATTTTGAAGATGAATGTGTGTAATATGCAGAGATGGGCAGTAATGCGTTACTTGTAACGCGTTACTGTAATCCAATTACTTTTTTCAAGTAACGAGTAAAGTAAGGGATTACTATTGCAAAAACGATAATTAGATTACCTTTACTTTCCCGTAGGAACGCTGCGTTACTAAAACCGTGGTTTTTTTGCGAGAATGTCTCATGACAGTGACGTAAGCAAGTGCGACGTTCGTGACAACAGCTGTGTGCAGATCAACAATGGATCACATATCGAGTGCGGGAGAGAGTATGAGCGTGCAGCTTTTTAAGCGTGGAAGTACTGACCTTACTTTAAGTTTGATTCCATAAAAAGTGACAAAAATATTAGAATCCGTTGTGCGTGGGAAGAAAACTTCTTTTTACAGCGAAAAAAACCCCCTAAACCTCCAAGCAAGCACCGAGTGCGCTACGACGTAATGGGAAATTCGCAGAGAAACTCGCGGATTCTTCCACTGACCGCTGCGGCACACCTGCACCAGGGTAAACCTCCGCCTACCCTACTCCTGCTTTACAGGTGAAAATAGAGCAACAGGACCGCTAGTCTTTGACTTTATTTATTTCCTGCTGTGTTTTACTTGCATCTATTTGAAAGACTGAGTGTAAACACAAAAAAATATTTTATTTTATATGCTGGAATGTGCAGAAAATAGGTTTAAATATTAAACAAATTTCTTCCAGTCAGAGAATGTTGCATATAATTTAATATTTGCTTGATGCATAAAGTTAAAAGATTAAAACTGATAAAACAAGTTTTAAAAAGAGACTTTTCCATTTGATTACATTTTGTATGATGGATTATGTAGAAAAAGTAGAATTGGGCTGAAAGATCTATTGCTTTATCACCTATTCAGGTTGTAAATCGTGTTTTTAAAAAGTAACTAAGTAACTAAGTAATTAATTACTTTTGAAAATAAGTAATCAGTAAAGTAACGGGATTACTTTTTTGGGGAAGTAATCAGTAATTAGTAACTGATTACTTTTTTCAAGTAACTTGACCAACACTGGTAATATGCTGAAAAAGAGTGAGCAAGGGAAGTATGATTAAGAAGTATCAGCTTCTGTACCTACACTGTTACTATAACTAATGTTCTGATAAAGAGGTGTGTCAGCCTCAACAAAGTCATGTCCACAAATATTTGCTTGTTCTACACAATACTACAGCTGGTGACTAGTTGATAGTGCACATTCCAAACTAACCTACTAATGTATTCAACGCCCTCCTCAAATATACAAGTGGGAAAAATGGTATTTCCGTGTGAAATGGCCAACTTTACAGAATTAAAATGTATGTTTACAGAATATACAGTGTGTGTGTTTGGGCTGTTTAAAATGCACCTTTTGAAGCATTTTATTGGATTATCAGACTACAATTAGCCAATGTGTCTGCACATTGTATCCTTACAGTTTATCAGTGCTACTTGTTAGTGTCACTACCCGATCCGTACCTGAAACCTGATCGGTACCACGCATGCGCACATCTTACGTCACTTCCTCTCTTTGCCAAGATTGCAACAGTTAATGTATTTGAGTGACACGGTTAGCGCCCAGTTAGCTCATAGCATTTCTCAACAGCTCTGCCTCCTTTTCGACTGCCCGGGACATTTAAACAATGGATAA